TGGATAGAACTTCTTGAAACACTGATTTTGGTTTAAACTATTGATCTCCCTGCTTACGCTGCAGGACTACTTAGGAAAGTTTCTATTGTAATGCCTAAATCATAGGTGTTTCATATTTAAAAAGCCTTTTGTTACTGAAAGCACTGCAAATAAAGAAAAAAGTTTGGATATGTGGTGTTTTATGCCTATATGTTGCCAAATACAGCTTTTATGTATTTGTAAACCAGCTCTACCTATCTTGCGGCCCAATGGTGTTGTAGTCCTCTGGTAATAGCCAGTGACAAGAACTAAACACTGAATGGATTAGTATTGCTGCTATTTAATATAAATAGTAAGTACTAAAAGAAATTACTTTATGGTCAATAATAAGGGTAGCATTTAGAGGCAACTCTATATTAATTACTACAGGTACTGCCGTAGGCAAATGAAGGCTTGTGATTTTTCATAAATTTGGATACTGACTAGCAGGATTCTTGCTATACCACCGTGTCTGGTCAGCAGCTGCCTCTGTGCACAGTATTCCAGAAACATTACTTTACTTTATTACGTGAGCCAAATAACCATCCTGGAGTAAAATTACTTTTGGTTAAACAGGTCAGTTATAGGACTACAGTCTTTGCCTGAAACTTCATATTAAAATTCAGATGAAAGATATTTGGTGGTTGTTACCATCGCCAAACAAAGGATGAAAAAACCCCAAGATGTGTAATTACCCATCCTATCCATTTCCCCAGTTGCCCATATGTACATGTACTTTCTCCCACATGGACGTTCTCTTGCCTTCTTGTTAGGTCCCACTAGCCTAGTCTGAAGCAATCCGCTTAAATCTCCTTGGGTTGCCATTCACTTACAGGTATAAGCTTCTTTTGAGCCCATGTGGTACATCCATCACTCTTATGTAGAGTATAAGATTGCTTCACCTACGAGCTGCTTAGCTTCATTTTGTCTGGCAGTTTTTATTTTCTATTGGATTCCTCTTAATACATAAATATATTTGGACCAAGCTGCTTATTGATTTGGTGGATGGGTGCTGTTGCTGGTATATTGATTCACTTGCAGTGCCAGCTTGAGTTGTTGGCATAAAGATCATCCTTCTCTTCTTGCACAAGTTGCAAACAAACATATAGTGTGTTCATTGCTTCATCCCAGAGTTGTTTCAGATTCTACCTGTCTAAAACTGTTACTACACTGCTAGCTGTTTCTTTGGTTTTTCAAGGTTATTGTACAGCTACGGTATCTGGCTTTTAAAAAGACAAAGTTGAATTTTGGAGGAGGATTTGAGCAGCATGGTAGAAATGCCAGAAGAGCTTCCAATGATGTAATCAAAATTCTGCATCCAGAGGTTTATTTCTATTTTTGTTTTTGTTGTCAAGTGACAACAATTAGGTTTTCTATTCAATCATGGTATTTGATGAAGTGTTGTTAAAAAAAAAAAAAAAACCAACCAAACAACCCTACAGCTTGAATTGAACAGACAGTAAATACTCTCAAGATGGCTATTAATAACTCTGTTTCTTCTGTTGTAAGGCCATTGAAACAGTCCTTTAATTTTGTTTGTACTAAAGATAGGAGAAATGTAAAATCAAGTGTGCAAATGAGGGAGGGGAAAGCTCACAGTAAAAGTTGGATTTTAGAATTTAAAGAATATCCTACTTATGTATTTGTTATCTATAGGGCCAACTTCTCAGCGGGTAAAGGACAATATTATTGGGTTTGCATATTGTAGATAGGATGTTCATCATCAAGCTGTACCAAATCAAAGCTGCAAGTTAAAAAAATATACTGCTTTTACCCCCAAAACCTCAATGTTGGGGGTGCATGAGAATTCTGGAGGGGAAAGGAAATTACACTTTTGTATTATACTACTCTAATCCTTTGTCTTCTGATGCATTGCTGTCTCTTACTTCTGTAATTTTATTTATAGCTTGAAGCTGAAGTGTGTAAAAGACATAACGAAAATATTACCCAGTGGTGGAATTTGCGTGGTTTACTTTCAGTGTATAGGGCTTAGGTGAAGACTTTATGAATCTGTATTTGGATGTAACTTTTAAAATCAGGGATTTAGGCATCTGACTACCATTAACATTCAGGAGCAATAGGAAGCTGAAGCTGTGTCACCCTCTTTAAATTATCTTGGTCTAACGCTTAAGTGGTTATCATGGTGCGTGAATACTATTAATGAATAGTGAAACATGGAATAAAAGTAACGAATACTTGTATGGTATTTTAAGGGTAATTTAAGGTCATATATGTAGCATCACACAACATTCCTAGAGTATTTAACTATTGGAAGAGGACTTTTAAAGCTATTTTTAATTTTGTCCCATGTGTAGCAAATCACTAGAAAATAACAAACTGGTAATGACGTAGTTGTTCATTTTAAAAACCTTTAAACTTAGAACTCCTGTCTGACCGTTTAGGTCTGGGGAAATACACTATGTACCATAATGTATTTCTTGTAATAGGTATATTAACTTTAGTTGCAGTGTCTTGTGAATTTAAAACTTGCTGATGTAGTTACTGTTTTTTAATAGATCATTGACCCGTCAATCAGACTCTGACCATTTCAGAGATAAAAAGCTAGGCTTTCATTGGTTATTATGAATAGAGCACCTTTCCACAAATTAAGAAATGGTGTAATAATTAACAGGTATAATGGATATGTGCATTCAGGTTTCAGTTATATCTTTATGAGCTTTAGCTCCTGTTATCTTTGGTGTAGTTAACCCCCTGTCTACCCACAGATAATTTAACTGCAGTATAAAAATGGATTTGTTTTGTGGCAGTGGCGTTTGCTGATGTGATAGTTTTTTTGCCTTTTTAAGATCTGTCATAAGAGCTGTTCTTTCAGACTTTTTCTTTAAAACGAGGCACAGAACTTCACTAACAAAACTCATTAAATAAGTAATAATACTGTCCTAAAGAAGCAAAGATTCTTCAAACAATTTTGCATAAAGAGAATTTACCCAAACTTTAAATTTTGTCCTGATTTACAGACTTAAATGATTATAAGTACCAATGATTCCTGGTATCTTTGACATAAAAAGTTGCTTGGAAATTGCCAAAGCAGGTCATTCAGTAGTGCAGTCATTAGGTGAACCAGAAAGTAGGCAGAGGTCACTTACCATTCCAAAGCTCTATATATCTTAAGAAAAATAAAAATCTTAGATTTTGAAAATATAAACGATATTTTAGGTGCAAAAATTCAGTAAACATTAGGATTCAATTGCTTTGATGTAATATAGTTGCACTGGAAAATACGAATCAGGAAAGAAAATCCTTAGTTCAGAGAAGCTATGGAACTGCAAAGTTAAGGAAAGCTTTCTGAATTTATGTATAACTTTAAACATGACAAAAAACAAAAGAGAAGCGACAGTTAAAATGAGAGGCTGATAAAATACTATATAACTGGAACTTTACGAAGGTATAGAAGTTATTTTTGTTTTGAAACGTGTTTTCCTATTAAAGTATTGTTAGTATCTTAATTAAAATATCATTTCACCTGTTTCAGGTGTGTTCTTATTTTCTCAGATATTTCTTATATTCTCAGATATTTATTCAGAACACATTTGTATAGAAGCTCACATCTTTAGTGAACTCATTTTTGTACTAGCAGTTGGCGTAGCCATCATCCTATTGTAAATTCAATTTAATCTATTTCAGGGAAATTCAGTTGCTTAATGACATCGGTTGTCCCTATATGTATACAAAAGTAGATCTTGGCAGTGTTCAGTTTGTGTGATCAGTAGCTCACAGATTTTTGTCATTGGGGTTTCAGTACTGTAGTAAATAAGTCACCTTTTATCATTCATATGGTTTTGTCATGTCAATGCTACCTAGGTATAAGGTGTGCTTATAACAGCAAATACTCAGGTACTTGTCTAAAAAAATATTTTCAAAGTACTCCTTAATATTAGTCACAGATCTTAATGTGAATAGATGTAAAAAGATGAGCTTTCTGGAAAAAAAAATACAGAAATTTTTCAATTATTTGGCAGCGTCATGCCTGCTGTAACTTGAGTCTAAATACAGCAGTTGCAAGAGGAGTTGGCTTTTTTAGAGTATACTGCAAGACTGTGACAAGATCTTCCAGGTCTACAAAATGAAACCTCAAGGAAAAACAGGCGGAAGGGGCACAGTAGTTGTCTTTTTCTGTTTATATCTCAGTACATGTCCCAGTAGGTAGTTTACCTTCATAGAAGATGAGGGGTAGTGGGGTGTGGTCTGTGTATTTCTCATCCAGGAGTGGCTTACATTGAGACTCTGGAATGCAGCATTCTCTGTTCCTAACCTCATCCTCATAAACGTTCCAGTTGTTTGTTCCTTTCTTTTTAATAGTCTGTTCTTTAATCATCTCATGCAGCAATGTACCCTTACTTCCTTAACTGGAGAGAGAGAGGGGGAGAGAGAGAGAGAGATAACTACTTTTTTTGCTATATTCTCATCCTCATACACATGCTACTTTGTTTTGCTTGCAATGCAATATTACTTAAAGCAAACCACAAAACTAATTAATCCATAACAAATGAAAATCATTAAACATAATTCTGCTGTAATCTTTAACTTCCCATTTCTTCTTTTTTTCCCTTATTTAAGTCTAAAACTCTTGCTTTGCCACAAGGATCTTATCTTGGTGTAAGAATTCATCCAGTTGAATCTCAAGGATAAAAATAGTAAATAGATTTTATGTAGACCACAAGTATGCCAAGGTAACAGCTTTGTCTAATTCAGACTCTGCATAAAGCGTTTGTGTGTATATACTGAGACAAAAGTTTGGAGCTATTTGGGTGCATTTAGATTTACATTTTGTTTTTTTATAAGGTTTTCATTAAAAATAATATGGTAGTGCTTGGGAATTAAAACCAAAGCTAGTTTCTGTGGTTTTAATATGGGGAGTAGACAGAATTACAAACAAAAAAAACCCTTGCTTGAATGATTCTGGAGTGATATTTTTCCTTCAAGTGTTAATGGATTAATTCACTTTTCAATCCTGATTATAGGAAGAATACTTCTGAAATATGATATGGGATATCTCTGGAAGTAGAGTGAAGTAAAACTGTGTTTCTAGGATCTTAAGCTTACTTTTATACTGAACTTCAAGTATTGAAAAGGTATGTTTAGCCTATGAAATATACAATTATCTAAAAGCTTTCCTTTGTTACTGTGTTCTGGTTTTAAGCTATAAAGTGCAGAAAATCTGCTCTAGTACACTATATGAAGCCCTGCATTATATTTACATGAAGTAGTTTAGGACACTTGACAGTTTTTTAATTTTAATTTTGATTACCTTGCAGCATGGCATCTTAAGCACCAACTTTTCCATGAAAACAGAATCTCTGAAAGGTCTTACAACTCCAGGTTGTAAGCTGGCCTCTAAACATACTGTTCTAATGATCTCATCTATTTAGCAATCAAATTGCCCTTCCAGTGTCCTCAGAACTCATCAAGAGCTGAAGTATTCGATGGGCTCATTTACAGTGTAGTTGAATCTCAGTTTTTCCCTATAAGAAGACTTAGACCTTTGTTTGTTATAAGCTTACTCTGAGGGCATAGAAAGCAGGTAAGCAAATTATTTTGTCCTGAACATATTTTAGTTCACTTTAAGTTAAAATTTTTATCTCCCTGAAACTTGATGCACAAATGCTTGAGAATTTTTGCAGAGTTATGAAAAGCCTCTGAAATCTCTTCCAGGTTAAAGACATGTGACAAGACAGTAAGACTGGAATAAGCTGTATCTTATACCTGTGACAGGCTGGCATTCAGCCCTTGTAGAAGAATCAAGTTTAAAGTTAAAGAGCTGCTCGCTGAACCAAAGCCCAGTTTGGAAATGACCGATTATTTTATTAGTATCTGCATGGCATGCAAGTTTTTAGAAATGGCACAGACTAATTTCAGAATTCTGCTGTTTGACGTCTGTTGTACTATAGCACATATGCGGAAGAAATCTTTTGTCGTTCATTTGAAGCTCTTAGTCACTTGAACCTCCTTATTAAGGGATATTTATATTGTTATACTATAGAATACCTAATTAAGAAAGCTACCCGTCTGTAATGGCTGTTACCCAAGCTAATAACACATGAAAAAAGCTACCAGGAGACTTACATATTTTGAAATGGAAGAAATTATTCTATCTCATCAGTTAGGTTACAGTTCTAAATTTAATTTGAAAGTAGTAGTAACACTTTCTGTTTGTCATAGGGGATCTGTTACTGGAGCTGTTTTTAAGTCACGTATTCGGCAGCCTTTTATCTACAAAACTTAATTTTTGACATCACTTTTTAGGGATTCAACCTCACTATCACTTTGCTTTGTCTCCTTGCCCAATCCAGTATTTTAGCGTTGAACTGTAAATTCTGTCTTTTTGGTTATTTGTATATTACCATTCTTTAGTTATGTAGCTTAAAACTTTCACAAGTATGGGAATTGTCCTTTAAAAGTTGCTTTCTTATGAGCCTAAATTTAAATGTACAACTGCAGAAGATTGGATACTCCAATCTTTTAAGTATTACTCATTTTGCAATAAGCATAAAACTGAGCGATACCAGTTTACTGTGTTTTGTAGCTTTGATGTATTATGGCACGATATATCTAATTTTAGTGATTGTATATTGTTTTTCCAGTTACACCTATAATATACTGGAGATCAGTTTTCCAGGATGTTTATAGTTTTTCCATGTTGCTGTGAGCTCTATGAATGTGTGGATTTATCGACCCCTAGTGGGTTGTTAGAAGAATGGCTGTTAATTTAATAAGTGCTAAATGGAAAATTTAAATGTTTTTCAATCCTGTATTTGTTTCAATTCTCTCTTTCTTCTGTTTGCAGCTGGATTAGCTCCCGAGTTTCATTTCTGATGTTCCCTTTCCTGCCTCTGCAGAACTGCCTATTGCAGCAACTTCTATTAGCAACATTCCCAAAACATGTAGCTAGGTGTCTGTGTTTTAATGAACACTTGTAGCTGTAGCTGAGTATTTTAAAATTACAGTTTAGCATAAATTTAAAAAAAAATGAAGGGTTTTTTATGATGTGTAAGGTGGGCTTATTAAAAATAAGCTAGGAAAAAGCTAGTAACTTCTTGGGTAGTATGATACTATGTAAACGAATTAAAGCTAGTTGTAAATCATCTGCTCAAGTTTCACTGACCTCTTAGTGCTTATTAAATAATTATAATTTATCAGTAATATAATGAAACCTACCATTTCATAAAGAAATAATTTAATACAGTATTTTCATGCTAAACCAGCATGTAAAATACTGCATTTCTAGTGAACCTTGAAACTAATTTTAAATAGCTTTAGTATTTTTAATTATTTAGTTGACATTGTCATTTTATGGGAGGAGAAATTATCTCCTAACCATGCTGTGAAAGTTTCTTACAGGCATTTACTTCACATGAATTAAAATGAAGTACTGAATAGTGGAGTCACATTTGACTGTTAAAGTAGCAATAATAAACGAAGCTAAGTCTGCTCAGTAATTAAAGTTCACTGTGATTCTGCATCTGCTACATCTTTCCAAGTATCAGAATCAGAAATTAAGCCCTACTGTAAATACTTTAGTTTTCTATGCAAGTTTGATACAATAAATAACTTCCAGTTTTTATTTTGTACGTTTAGGCTTTACATTAGGCTTTAAGTAGTAAAGTGGTGTTTCTACCAGTTAAATTGTGGAATACTCCTTTGAATTTTAGGAATTTTTAAATTGTTAAGAAGAAGCCAAATACAATTTTTGGCATTTACTTATGTTTAGTATTGTGTTTACTGCATAAACCGTATTGCTTAAAGTCAAACTTACACAGCAATCAAAAATGACAAAAAGACCTCAAATTCATGTTTTTGTGGGAGCACCCAGGATTCCAAGCCCACTGGAGGTGGCAGAGCAAAGTAGTTCACCACCTGCTGCGGAAAAGTGGAGAGAGCTCCGCTGCTCATATGATATACATAGTCTTTTTTCTGAAAAAGTCAAAGGTGCTGACCATGTAGTGTTTCAGGCAGAAAGCTCTATAGTCACACCAGTTCCTACAAACGATGACAGCTCTCAGCAGTCTAAACAGGGGAGATTAATGGTAGCAAAAGAATATTTGACATCTCTTGTACCTGTGGCAGTAACTTGTACTAGCACACCTAAAAAGACTGAAAGTTTAATTTATTCTGATTGTCAAATATCTGAAGATAGATGCACACATGCAAATGTAAATGAGGCTGCAGATCAACACCTTCCTGAAAAATTTGCAGAATCAGCTACACAGGATAAACAATCACATGGCTGCTGTTCAAACCTCACTGAAAGAAAAGCCAGTCATTTAGAAGGGAACAGCTCTGACATTTCTGATTTGGTTGCTGGTACTAAGCAGATTAGCATACATCTAAGGTCTATGGGACAAGTTGTTCAATCAGATCATGGAAGTGATCGCCATGAATGTCTAAGTCAATATCTGGATATGTTTTTCCCCCAAAATCAAGAGTCAAAACCAAAAGGAGAACCAGGTGATTGTTCAGACCTTGAAGTGTCAACTGATACTGAATTTCGTAGTATAATGACTTCAAGTCAGATGGCTGTTTTTGCACAGGATCGGAATGAGATGCAGAAAAGAATCATAAAACTATTGGAAGCGGACAAAAAACCTGAAGAAAGGCTATATGGTCATGTCCAATTTGGTTCTGATGTTGGAACATATCTTAACATGGCTGAAAATGAATATAAGGAAGAGTACGCAAGTTCCCTTGAACTTTTCAGTTCTGAGGGTGATGGGAAAACTGTTTGCTTTGAAGCTACAAAACAAGAAGGAAATGCTCAGGAAAATACAGAGAAGTCTCAAAAAAAACTCAGGAATATTGTGCTCTCAAGTAGACGGTTCTCACAAGAACTCTTCTAAAAGAGCCCGCAAGTGTGAAGATTCCTTTCATGTTTTTCACTCAGCGTTTAAAAGACAGCTGAAATCAAAGAGAGCTAAACTGAATTCTTCTCCAGCTGGTCCTGGGATGAGAGTGGATCAAGAGAGGATGACAGAGTTCAAGAAACTTCAAAAGAAACTATCGCTACTTAAGAATTGCTGCTGTAAAAATCAAAAGTACAATGTTTTGGTCACAGTAGTACATCCATGTCATATCAAAGAAATAGAGGTGAAGACTAGACCAAAATCTTCATGTAAAGTTCCTGTAGCAACCATTGTAGTTGTTGACCAGTCAGAAATTGAGAGGAAGGTGGTGCTGTGGCGTGGTGCTGCATTTTGGTCGCTCACTGTGTTTCCTGGGGATATTGTACTGCTTACAGGTGAGAATTCCTTTATTTGCCCTTTTAAAAATGTAGACCTTTAAAATGCCTGTTTAAAGTAGAACAGTATGTAACCAGTAATTTGGAACTATGGCTAAGAATTTGTAAGTATCTTTCTTACATCATTTACATTGCTCAACATCACTTTGAATTCTCACTCATCCTGCCAGTGGAACATTACCTGTCGCATAGAAGTTCACCCATCTCTTCCATATGGTCTTTGATCTGAGGCACAGCAGTGTGTTGACACTACAGTAGTGCCATAGGTAGTGAGGTGTATTCTGTAACCTATCTGTGTTTTAAAACAGTTGTCCCTGAAAGGTCAAAGCGCTACTACAAACCAGGTGTACCAGTTACTTGATTTACAGACTTTTTTGTAATTCTCTGCTGTTGGACCAGCAGATGGACTGGAAGATTGTGATGTTACGTTCAGTCACAGGATGAGAAACACTTTTCCTCCTGGGAAGGACTTTGTAGCTTAGCACTAGCATCTTGAGATGTTGAGATGTGTTGTGAATGAGTAACTGACATAGACTGCAGAAATATAAAATGCTGTTTGCAGTTTGCCTTTTTTATAACGTGTCAGCTAATAAAGAAGATTCTCCCTGGTAAATCCTTTGTACTCTGTAATACTTAATAGGAGCAAACCCCTCCCTCTTTAAGAACATATGTCATGTAAGACAAGGCAGTACTAGAAAAATATTGCATCTAATTAAGGGCTGGAGTTGACCAGAACTTGATAGTCATCTGGCCATTTAGGTTTTGCAAGATGCAAAAAATTATGCAATATAAAATTGTTTGAATACTTCTACAGTTTAAGATGCCCATTTCTCTTTAAGAGTTCTTTAAGTTCTTATGGGTAGGTGAAAAAAAAATTAGAGATTGAAGATAAGCTAGGCTTTTATTTTATTAGACATTCTTATCTCAAAATACAAAGATTAGATTAAAAAAACCCACTTTGTTTCCAAGTGATCTCTTTCAAACTGTCTTTCATACCTATTTGTATGATGGTTCTATAGTCAAGAAAAGTATGATGCACATCAATACTGTTGATATATGAGTTGATAAAGTTGCTTTTTTTTCTTGCAGATATAATAATATATGAGAACCTTTGGTGTGGAGAAATCATGCTGCAATCTACATTTACCAGTCAACTACTGAATCTGGGGAACTGCTCAGCTCTCAATCCAGAAGAATGTAAGATTATAGTGCATAAGTTTCCACAAAAATCACAGTAAAATAGCTATTTAAAGTACTCTGTTTTGTTGGCAATGCCTCATACACAGGATAAAATGGACATGTGAGCAACTAGGAGGTACTAAACTCTATAGGAAAGTACGACAAACACCTGTGGACATGATGACATCAGATGGGCAAGTGGAGTTTATGGTGGTGTCATGGTTTAGCCCTAGTCTGCAATCAAGCACCATATAGCTGCTTGCTCACTCCTCCCTGCCCCTCAGTGGGATGCAGGGGGGGAGAATTGGTAGGGAAAAAGAAAACTCAATGGGTAAAGGACAGTTTAATGATTGAGATAAAATAAAATCATAAATTGTAATGAAAAGGAAAATAACAGAGAGAAAGAGAGAAACAAAACCCAGGAAAAACAAGTGATGCAACTGCTCGTTACCTGCTGACCAATGCCCAGCCAGTTCCTGAGCAGCAGTCACTGCTCTCTGGCCAAATCCCCCCAGTTTATGGGGGCATGATGTCATATCTTTTGGAATAGCCCTTGGGCCACTTGGACTCAGCTGGCCTGGCTGTGTTCCCGCTCAGCTTCTTGTGCAGCTCCTCACTGGCAGAGCATGGGAAGCTGAAAAGTCCTTGACTTAGCTGTTGCTAAGCAGTGCTTATAATAAAACATCAGTGTTATCAACATTCTTCTCATGCTGAATCCAAAACACAGCCCTGTGCCAGCTACTAGGAGGAAAATTAACTCTATCCCAGCCAAAACCAGGACAGATGGTTACCACTTAAAACTCTGAAAAACTGAATTCTTTGAGCTTAGTTTATGAAACGGGAATTATCCCAGAACTCAACAATAATATGTCTGAGATTCCATGAGGATTAAATTTTTTGCAAAAATTTTAGAGGCTTGAAGAGTAAGTAGATATGCTCAGGGAAGGTAATTCATTGCAGGCTGTTAAGCACAAAGTCTTTAAAGATACCTGAGCCCTGGAGGGTTGGAGACTAAGGGGAAAATACAGTGGGAGTATCACCATCAACTTGCAGTGTTCTTGCTGTCTTCCTGATGTCTGTTACTGCCCGTTATTTAAGTCAGGTTCTGGGGTAAATGATCAAAAATGGCTATTCTTCTTAGCAAGCTATGATACAAGATTCCTTTCCTAGTTTTGATGTAATTTAAAATATTGTACTTTGAGATGTTATCAGGAGGAGGCAGATGAAGTACAGCTTAATTTTGGATCAAGTGTTATACATCTCAAGAATTTCTTGCCTTAAAATCATTGTGCAATGGTTTTGGTTTTGTCTGTGTAAATACGTACCAACTGATAAATTTTATACTTGTAAGCTTAAAAAAAAAAGTCCCTTTAACTCTGTTTTTTCATATAAGTTTATCCTATAGTGGATGATAGTGTTCTTCGTGGTTTATTGACATACATATCATCAGAATTTCCGCACTTTGGAGACATTCCACGAAGACAAGTTCAGAGACTGGATAGTGTTCAGTATATGCAGCTAGACCAGCTCCAGCCAAATACATTGGTTCACTCAATCTTGAAAATTATCAACATTGCCGTATTAACGGGTAAGTTCAGGCACATTGGACTTCAACTTCCAGAACTTTGATGATAGGTGAAACTTAAATAGTAATTTTGCAAGGCAATTCTGGTTGGTTCCCATTCCACGCATCAGCGTTGGAAGTAGGAGTCCCAAGTAAAACCTTTGTAATGATGCACTCATGGGGGACACAGCAGTTAGACATGAAGTTAGAGACAGGGAGGGATTGAGGACTGTAGTCAGCTGCTGAAAGGAGGCTACTGCACACTAGTGCTGATCGATACCATACACGTCTGTGGGAGAAGCATGCGGTGGGCACTGACAGTCAGTGTTCCTCCTCATTGAGGGATTGGTGTGTTTTCACTGAGGAGTGAGCACTCACCACAGACTGCACTTACTAATGTATTGGCTTGTCAGTGAGATAGTTGAGCATCTCCACAGCTCCAGATAGTGTGGTACCTGATTTTCAACAAGGAGGAGGATTGAAAAGAGATGCAGGTACAAGGTATAGTCTTGGGAGATGGAACAG